ATTGATCCCATGCTGTCTATCATTCCGCAACGGGGCTACAATGGCAAGAGATTAGATAGCTCGAGTTCTTCAGCAAAGTGCATGTACATGGACTGGCTCAGCCATCTACAAAAATTGCCACCTGAGTTCTTCATAGAAGGATTCAGGGGCGCGTGGTAGACCGTCTATAGTCCTCCCAGTGGATGAAAAAGACCACCGTGAAATAAGGCCGTCAAGGCAGGTGTTCACGTTAAGCACTCGATATTCTCCCTACTGGACGCTATCTTGCGAAAAACGTATTGGTTTTATATAAGAACAAAGATTTATCATATAGTTTGATTCATAATTTTTTGTGTACAGTTGGAAAACATCGTTGAAAAATTTCACATTTCTAGGTTCCTTCATTAAAAACCTTAGGCTTCAAATACAATTTTGATACATTTTTCTAAATTAATTTAATAATTTCAATATCTAAAAGTAATTGAAGATCCTTTCAAAAAAAATTCCATTATGTTTTAATTAAAAACTTCAACACGCAACTCTTTCTTCTCTCCTCATCAAACCCTTTTCAAATATAATATTTAAAAATATACCAAGAACAAAATATAATAATAATGAACTATTTAAACTGATGTAAATGTTAATTAACAATAAATAAATTCATATGAATGTGTGTAATTCCAAGAATAGTTAGATGAATTTCTACTTAATTACAAATGAGTTATAAAAAAAAAAACAACAATAACACAAAAATTCAAACAATTATAAAATAAATTTACAAAAAAAACATTTCAAGAGTATTGTTGGTTTTAGTAAGAGTAAAATAATATTCCCAAAGGTGTCGGTTAAATCGGATTAACATAAATATGGGGTAAAATAATAATAAATAAAAAACAACAACAATAAATTATTAGAAAACAAGGTGTATATATATGGAACATCAACGAGTCGTTATAAACGTACATACTACTCATATTAATATGATTTTATTTCATTACACTTTATTTTTATTTGTTTTCAAACTCTTTAAATATGAAGAAATAAAACCCTAAGAATACAAAAAAGGTTCAATATTAACTGACGATACTCTGCCACAAACAACAAAAAAAAAAACAACTCTTCTTCCAACGGCGCAAAACAATGAAACGCCTTTTAATTCAACAATCGATCTTCTTTCTTCTGGCGCAAATGCACGGCAGGGTCTCAACGCAGGCGCATTAAGATCTAAAAGCATTGGTTTCGGGGGTTACTGCTGCTGCCGACTGACTACTCACCTCAAACTACAAACAACTAATAATTCTAAGAAATTTTATTAAATTAAAAAAAAAGAGCAGCAGTAGAAGAAGTACAAAAAGAAGAACTAAAAAATAAATAAATGATGTTTAGCGGTGATGACGGTAGTCAATCAAATAAGTCAAGAAAACAGGCATATAAAATAATAATAATAATAATCAAGTAGGTGATGCCTCTTTTTTTGTTTTGTTCGATCAAAAATGTATGATTATTTAGAAGATTAATTCAACTAATTATAATTATTTTTCAATTTAGGTTTAAATAATTAACTGACATGTAAAGTATCTGAAAAGTGATGGATACAAGAATATGCATTGATGGGTATAAATTTTAGAAAACATTAATATGTATTTGTTTATTAATTTAAAACATCGTTTTATAAAAGAACTAGCTATAACCAGTGTGCTTTGCTACCCCAAAAACAATATAAATAAAAATTCCACTTTACGACTTTTTTAGAATTTTTTCTCTAAAATCTCCTGATATAAGTGCGATTCTATGTATTTGTATCATATGGAAGGTGCCACGCCAGCGATTGCATTTTCACCTATTTTTTCCAAATGTTAGTATGGATTTTATTTAATGTTACCCATGCAACATATGAAGATTATAGGTCTAATAGATTCCCAGATATATGAATTTTCAATTTAATTTACATATATAGAAGGTGTCAAGTCCTCTGTTTAAAGTCCTTCCAAATGTTATTCGTGCAAAATTTATGGATTCTAGCTCTAATAATGTCTCAGATATAATTTATATGGGAGGTGTCACGCCCCCTGTAGCAAATTCACCTATTTTTTTTTCAAACCTATAATGTTACACATGCAAAATTTGAAGATTCTACTTCTAATAGTTTCCCAGATATACGAATTTTTGTATTCAATTCATATAGGAGGTGCCACGCCTCTCCCACATGGTTGTTGTCGTTGCACCACGACCCTGTTTAAAATCTTTTGTGCACCCTTAAGTTCACCATAACAGGTGTAATTAACGCATGAAAATAACAGGTTTGACTGATGAGAGGTTGAATATATCCTTCGGGGCTAGTGAAGCAGCACCCAAGAGTCTAGCTAGACGTGATTGTTACACAATATGTGTTCAGAGGTTTCTTCCTGACAGCCACAAAATCTGCTTAATTTTGATATATGAGACCACAGTGTCCCGTGAGTAATACCGTTAGTATTCTAATATCGTTTTTGTTAAGCGATAAAATCTTCTGAAATTTTCCCTTAGATAGCGTAATTAAGCGCTTTGTCTGTCTAAGCCCTGTGGTAGCTTTCAGTGACGAGCAAATTCCGATTCGACCCACGATTCGCATCTTTCTCTGACATACCACTGTGGGATACCAAAGTATAGTTCGGGACGATAAATGAGACGCTCCTGTTTGCTAGGGAGTCCGCCTAGCTCTAATAGTTTCCTAGATAAATTAATTTTTGTAATAATTCATATTGAAGGTGCCACACCCACTATATCCAGTCCGACCGTACAAAATTTGCAATTGCAGTTTCTGAAACTAGTTTTAATACAGTTTAATATATTTTATGTGTGGGCGCGCCACATTGCCCACTTGAATATTCCAAATAAAGAGTAGCGTATAGGTCCTTTCAGACATAGAGGAAGATACTTTGAATACCGTTTAGCAGTCTATAGAATTCTAACCAACCAGCAAACCGATATTTAAAGAGCCAAGAAAAAGTTCTGTATTAGACACTAGGGGACAAGTACCGAATACAGTTGTTTAATTTAAAGCAAGTATTTTGCGAGAAACACTCTGAATATGCGACAAAATATATTCTTTTGGCGAGGAGTGTAAAGTTACCAGAAAGGTGGTAACCTCTTCCCATCTTTCTGGCAACATTGGTTAACTATTTATTCCTTGTCCTTGCAAAAGCTAAGGGAAACTCCCTGCCTGCAGTTAACAAAACTTTAACAATATTTGAAACCCAAACTCCACAAATATACAATTCAATTTGCAAATTAAAGCTTTTGATAAGTATTTTTGCAAATCAGCAGTAAATGAATTTGATTTCACTGCTGAAAAACCAATGAACGAAAGAAGAAGAAAAAAAGGCAACAATCAGCACTTACGTGCCACAATCTGTAACACCCAATATACCACCACCAACAGTCTACTGGTATTTTATAAACAGACAAATGTAACAATGGAATGATCTCTCTGGATCTGGCTGGTTAAGAAGTGTGTTCATAAATATGTTTTTATTTTTCGTTATATTTTTCTTTCATATTTTCTGTTGTTGTTGTTTGGTATATTTAAACAATGGATTTTGGTGTTGTTGTATTTGTATTTGTTAGTTTTGCATTCAATATTCTTCATATTTTGTGCCTACCAGAAGAGTATATCACGATTTATAATGTTTCGTAGGGTTTATGAACAAAAAAAAATTTTGTGCAAAATACACTGAAAGAAAAGGGTGAAATAGAAGCAGTTTAAGGATTGGGGGAAACTCGAAAACAAGTTGGGGTATAGTTTGGAAGGATCTTAATGTTTTCTCTCTCTCTCTATCTGACTGCCGGCTTCTTCCGACTTTGAACTGAAGGATGGTAGATACTTAAATCTTCAAATAAAAACAATTTCGTAAATTTGGTTAAGAATATATAAGAATATATAACACTTAAATAGTTGTACATTTGTCAAGTACTATACAGCCGTTAACGGATTAATTCTCGTCCTGAATGTGTTATTCAGTATATGTATGTTATGTAAATAACAATCTTTTCTCTATGTGTATTTATGTTACAAAAAAGTAGCTCATAGGATTTTATTTTTTTCGATTTTTTTCTTCGTTTAAGAAGAAAATAAAATTTCAATTGAGCGGATATTTGTATACTGATAAGACACATTAAAAAGTCAACCCGGCTACTGTTCGTTTGTGCATATTTGCCGCATAATTTTCCTTTTTTTTTTTGTTCTTTCTTATTTGAGACCATTGGCATTGATGATGTTTGTCGATTGGTTGATTGAAAATTCTAGGAAACCATTCATTGCTGCCTTAACAAGGAGCTCTATGGAATGCTCATGAGAATAATAAATATTGTACAAACAATCAACGGATGCAAATAAGCAAACAAGACACACACACACACACAAACCAAGAAGAAAAAAAATATAATAATAATTTGTAAACATTTCGTTTAAAAAGCATTTCTTCTTTTAAAACATTATTCGCGCAGCATGATCAAATAATTGTTTAACAAATGGCTAAATAATGATGCATACTTACAAGGTTTAATGGGATTTTTGTGGTTAAAATATTAATTGATTTTAGTAAAAAATATTTAAAAAGTTTATCGAAATTTAATTTTACAAAATATGTTGCTTTATAAAAGGCAACATTTAGCAAATTTTACCTTTTAAAATCTTAATTTAACTAATAGTATTAAAAGTAAATCTAAATCTTTCTATCAACTATTAAAATTGCTTTATTAAACAAAAAAATACCTCATATGTACATGTATCTAATATATAATACCGCTCGCTTTTTATTTTATTATGTCATTTATAGTGAATTATATACCGACATGATTATGACATAAACTGATGTCTGTAATCTCCTTCGTAGGTGTTTTGTAAACTGGCATAAATAAATCTTGATTTTTTTCCATAAGATTTTCCCTACTTGCTGCTGCTTAGCATCATTTTAAAAAACCATTTAAAAATTAATTAATTCAAAATAGTACTTCATTTTTTGCTGTTGCTTTCGTTTTAGGTTTCCTCTTGCAACCATTTCGCAAACCGAAACGTGTACGTACTGCATTCTCACCCACGCAACTGTTAAAATTGGAACATGCATTCGAAGAGAATCACTATGTGGTTGGAGCTGAACGCAAGCAGTTAGCACAAAATCTAAGTCTAACCGAAACGCAGGTAAATTTGAATTTTTAAGAAATAAACAAAATAAAGTAGTAGTTTGTTATATGAAGTTTAAATGTGTTCATTAAATTGAATAAACTCCATAAAATTCAATAAACCAATTAATTGGTTTACTTTATTACTTTTTTTAAGACAAAATAAAAATCCATGTTGGCCTGCATAAGGCCCTAGAAATGTAAATTAAAGTTTAATGATGGAAACTTTGGAAAGTGTTAGCCGTCGGCAATTACAAAATACCGATATTAAATCGGACCTGGGAAGAGAGTAACAAATGAATTCTCTAACTATTTTTACGCAAGAGTCTAACCGATTTAGGCGTCGAAAATTCAGTACTGTAGTACTTTTTTTCAGTACTTTTTGATATTGAAAAATACCATGTTACCCCCACAACATTTTCGGTACTTTATCTAACTTATAAAATATTGATAAGTAGTCCACATAGAACAATATAGTCTAGTCTATAATCTAGTCTAGTCTAGTCTAGTCTAGTCTATAGTCTAGTCTATAGTCTAGTCTATAGTCTAGTCTATAGTCTAGTCTATAGTCTAGTCTAGTCTAGTCTAGTCTAGTCTATAGTCTAGTCTATAGTCTAGTCTATAGTCTAGTCTATAGTCTAGTCTATAGTCTAGTCTATAGTCTAGTCTATAGTCTAGTCTATAGTCTAGTCTATAGTCTAGTCTATAGTCTAGTCTATAGTCTAGTCTATAGTCTAGTCTATAGTCTAGTCTATAGTCTAGTCTATAGTCTAGTCTATAGTCTAGTCTATAGTCTAGTCTATAGTCTAGTCTATAGTCTAGTCTATAGTCTAGTCTATAGTCTAGTCTATAGTCTAGTCTATAGTCTAGTCTAGTCTATAGTCTAGTCTATAGTCTAGTCTATAGTCTAGTCTATAGTCTAGTCTACAGTCTAGTCTATAGTCTAGTCTATAGTCTAGTCTATAGTCGAGTCTATAGTCGAGTCTATAGTCGAGTCTATAGTCGAGTCTATAGTCTTCAAACTTCAAACCATAAAATGGAGTGAACCTCAGGCCAGTTTCAGATGTATGAAATAGTATCGAATGCTACTGTTGCGGAAGTCAAGAAAAATGGAAAAGTAAACATAGTTCAAGTAGATAGACCGAGTAAATCTGAGGCTGAAATTACTATGAACAGATTTCTGCTTTTGAAGAAGAAGAACTCGAGCATTTTGAGTTAGACGGCGGAAATAGTTTTTTTTTTTAATTGCTTCCGAGGACTTGGAGAACTCAGTCCTAATTACGGTCAGCTTCAGAGCAACAATAAAAAATATTATGGAATTAGAGCAGTGGATTACTCTAATTGGAAGAGCATTCATAAATGAAATAGATCAGAGTAAAAATGGATCATAATTGGTTTAGAATCTTTCCAATCACCATAACTTTTCAGGATGTGATCTAATGTCGACTCAATCGTTACCATAGAGATATATAAGAGTACATATAAAACTTTCGTTTTTTTTGGGATCCTCTCCAATAGTGATCTATTGCACCGCTTTATGTGTTTTATAATCAGGGTTGGTCCAGCTTTAGGTCAGAATTCTGAAGAAAAAAGCAAAAATAACAATAATTATGTACATAGAGCAGCGGATTGGGCTGTTTGAACAAGCACGTATAAGAGAAATGAATTATATTAAGGATTATTCCAGCCAAGTTCTCTTTCCTTTCAGGATCTTAATCCGACTTGTTAAACAGTTTGAAAACGCAACAACTGAAATTTTAAAGTTTGACCTTAAATTTGCCCATAACTGGTCTCCCTTAATTATCCAATATACCAACAATAGAAGGCGGCATAAAACCCATATTTAAAACCATTCACATACCTGTTTAACTAACTGCTATCAGCTCCATCAATAAATACCCATAAAATAATGGCAAATTTAGAATTAAAAACCCATACACTACATTCTTCTCATCAATTGTATTGTATGCAGAAATAAACAAACATCAACATCATAGTTCTAGTAGTCATCGGAACAAAAGTAGGAAAAAAGAGTGAAATAAAGTAAATGTTCTTGCCAACCGTTAAGTGATTGCATGTCAACTGGTCGTTAACTGGGCTTAAGTGGCTTGAATTATTAGGTTTAGCATAGTAGTAGTTACTACCCCTTTGCATCCCTCAACTAAGGGATGTTGTTTTGTTGAAGAAAATTGCCAACAGCAAAAATGACTCCTGACACCCTTTAATGCCTTATGCTTAGTTTAACTGCCACCAAAGTGTATGTCAGTTTGCTTGCCTCGGTACGGCTGTTTAGAATGACTGGTATGTCGGTTTCAAAGGGGTTGGTGGTACGTAAGTGTTTCTGTGTATGTGCATGGAAGGAAAAATGTTAAATTGGAAGAAAATTACAGTTGCCCAATATAGGTAAACGCCTGTTAAATATCACGTTACGTTACCATTATTAAGTGAGAATTTACATGGCAATAATTCACCTACTCCGCACAGCACAACTTCAACGGCAAAGTACTCTTCATGTTGAGAAACATTAGCCGTAAATTGTTTAAAAGTTTAGTTTATTAGGTGGGGCATTATGTTGAATTTAAGGCCTTAAAATATTATAGCCAAGCAACTAATGAGAGCTATTTAAAAAATATCGTTGTTTATCATAAAATCTCTCACACTAACTACATACGTATATTTTTTCAATGTTGTTTTTTTTTTATTCTAGGTTAAAGTGTGGTTTCAAAATCGTCGCACCAAACACAAGCGCATGCAACAAGAGGGAGACAGTGATTCGAAAAGTCAAAAGGGCAGTCAATCTGGTGATAATGAGGGTAAAAACGATAGCAGTCAGACTAGTTTTGAGGACCAAGATGACTTGGACATGGCTGATGGTGAGGTAGATGATGAGGAAGAAGACGAAGTCATCGATATGGATGACTATGATGATCATGAAATGGATGCTGAGGAAAGAAAGCGTATGACAGAACATTTTCAAGAAATGCAAAATCGTCATTTTGCTCACAGTCAAATGTTTCAGCAACAAAGTCAACAGCATCAGCAGTTTTTACAGCAACATTTCTTGCAACAACAACAGCAACACCAGCAGCAGCAACAGCAATTATATGCTCAAAGTGAACATTTACGACAGCAACAATTGCAACAAAATCAAGAACGTCAGCAGCCATCACAACAACAACAACAAACGCCTGCACAAAAACACTAGCCACTTAATGAAATACTTAAATGAAATTAAATTTTAAAATTCTAGGCAAATTTTTCTAATTAAAACAATAAGGGTATTCACTTGGCGTGAATTTTTCTTAGGATCATCTTCACAATTTTTATCATTGTATTTTAATAATTTAAATTTGTACTTGTACAATTTAATAATAACAAATATGTTTGTATGTCTTATAGTTTTAGCTTTTTTTTTGTAGAAATTTTGAAGATTGTCCTTAGAGTTGTATTTAAATTTTTTTGTAAATATTGTATTTAATAAAATATTTAAGTAAAAGAAAAATGTTAAATACAGAAAAAAACATTATTACAAAATATGTTTTTAGTTCCTTTTAAGAAATATTAACTGTATATTATTTATTTCAATAAAAAACTATTGTTCTGAAAATAATTTATAAAAAGTTTTTAAAAATAAATTATAAATTTAAAAAAAAAAACATCTGTTTCCTAACGAGAAAACATCTATGTATTTAAACAAATAAATTTTGTACAAAATTCATTTATTGAAAATTGAAGTAAAAGTTTTAATTGCAGAGGAAACGATATCTGATTAGATATTTTAATCAGAGAGATATTGAAATTGGAAGCTACTGAAGTCCACCTATTTGTCGTATCCTCAGTAAACTTGTACAGGGTTATACTAAATATTTGGGTAGTGATTTGGTGTATCATTCAATGACATGACTCTTAGATTGCCAATATTATGGATTAGAGAACTTTTGATCAGTCTATAGTTTAAACTATGGTCTAGACTAAAAACAGATCAGATGGTAGTCAAGACTATAGAACAGATTGTATAAAAACCTATATACCAGATTAAAGTCAAAACGATTGACTAGATTGTAGTCGTTATTGTAGACCAGATAATAGACAATATTATAGACTATGCTATCATGAAGACTAAATCATAGACTATAGTAAAGACTTAAGTCGTAGCTATATTCAAGACTTTAAAATAGACTATAGTCAAAACTATAAAACAAATTATAGTTAAATCTGAAGACTTTAGTCAATATCATATCAATAGTCAAGAATCTAGGCCAGACTATAGACAAATCTATACACTGTTTACCAGACTTCAGTCAATACTTTAGAGAAGACTATAGGCAATACTTTAGATCAGACTATAGTCAAAATAGATTAGCAGTTAAAACTATAGACCAGAAAATACAAATATCCGAAGAAATTGACCAGACTATATTCTGTTTTATAGTAAAAACTTTTGACCAGGCTATAGGCAACACGTTATACCATACTATAGACAAAACTGTGAAGCAGATATTAATTAAAACTATATATTGTAGTCAATATTATAATATACAAGGCAATAATCAGGACTCAAGGGCAGACTGTTGACCTATCGGGTTATACTGCAACTCGATAACTCCTTAAATACATTCTGTTCCAAAAACTTTTTCTTTCGGAGTAACATCCTAAACTATATTTCAGATTGTAAATCAGTATATAGATCAGGCTATAGATCAGTCAAGACTATTGATCAAACTATAAACTACATTATATACAGACTAAAAGGCTATAAACAAGTCAAATGTGTATAATTAACTATGGTCAAGACTATAATCAGGATTATATACTATAGATCTGATTATAGATCAAAAAATCAAGTCTATAGAACAGACTTTAGACAAAACTATAGTCCAAGTAATAGACCAGACTATAAAACTCAGACTAAACTATAGTCAAGTCAATAAAATAGATCATAAACTATATAACTACTTTGGAAAAGTCGTTATTATTCGAGATCAAATGAAATTAATAACATTTTTAGAAGTACATACACATACATATGCATGTATGTATTCAAATGTTCAAATATTTTTAATTACCTAATTTTATCAAAACCGTTAATTAGTCTAATTAACCAAACGATTGCAATTTAATAAGAGAGAGAGTTGTAACTATTACAAAATTCGATTAAAATCTTATTTAAAACCTGACATTTATAATTGTCATTTTGAAAAGTAATTAAGAGTCTTTATATTTATGAGGTTTGTTAATTCCGCTGTTTTTTTTTTCACTAAAACACATTATAAAAGTAGATTTGTATTTGCAATTACTAGTAAATGGTTGTGGTATTGCGTTATCTAAGGTAGTAGATCAACAAAAATAAATATGGTTTCGTACCGTATAAATTAACTAACAGCAAAATTAACTTTAAACATTACACATAAATTTTATATTTTTTAATTTAAAATTAAACTTTTGTATATTATTAATAAGAAAAGCAAACAAAAAGTAAAAAGTACATACCTGCTCAAAGTGGCTAAGGGGAGCGTAAAGTGTAGAAGAAGTTTAAATATCATTGAGTGTTAATTTAAATTATAATTATTTTAATTAGCTTAAACCGGATCGTTAGTGACATCTAACAACAGTGTTATTTGATGAAATTTAATAACAAGATTTTAATGTAGTTAAATGTTATAATTACCATAATGATGTATAACATTATTTTATTTCATTTATAAGTTTAGGTTTTTTTTCGTTTTTTATTTTAGATGGAAGTGTGTATGACAACAAGAGTACATGTAGCAAACAGCAGTACGTGTAAATGCGATTACGACTAAGACTGCCGGTACAAGTCTAAAAGTACGATTACATACTTATATGGCACGTATTAAATTACTGAAATGACTTTAAAAACAGATGAAAAAAAGTAAAACAACTAACAACTGCTAGTTACTGAAATCGAAAAACATATATGACTAGTTAACTCTAATCTAACAAGTTAAAAATATTTAGAATACACTAAGAGAAAAGGCTTATATTCTTAACCACTTAATTTATTATAAAAAGTGCGGGAAAATACGACTTACTTTCAAATGACCACCAATAAATCTGGGCTTTCATTTCAAAGCCCTTTAATTTTAGAAGTCGGGACTATAGTTTTGACTATTATATAATCTAGTATTGACTATAATAAACTGTATTATACTCTGTAGACTATAGTGTCTCAGACTTAATTGTCTTGACTATAAGAAGTTCAGTCCGTAGCCTGGACTATAGACAAGTCTATAATCTGGACTATAGTCTAATCTATAGTTTGGATTATAGTTTCATCTATAGGGGGCTATAGTCAGGACTATAGGTGGGCTATAGTCTGGACTATAGGTGACTATAGTCTGGACTATAGGTGACTATAGTCTGGACTATAGGTCTATAGTCTGAACTATATTCTATTTAATAGTTTAGATTATTGACCACTCCATAGCTCAGACTATAGATGCGCTATAGTCTGGAATATAGTCTAGTCTATAGTCTAGTCTATAGTCTGGAATATAGTCTAGTCTATAGTCTGGACTATAGTCTAGTCTATAGTCTGGACTATAGTCTAGTCTATAGTCTGGACTATAGTCTAGTCTATAGTCTGGACTATTGTCAAGTCTATAATAATGTCTGTTTAGTAATGACTGTAGAATAGTTTACAGTCTAATCTATTGTCTGGACTATAATCTATTTAATAGTCCTGACTATAGACCATTCAATATTCTGGACTATTGTCTAGTTTTGACTATGTTCTATATTATAGTTTAGTCTATAGTCTAGCCTATAGAGAAATCTGTATTCTGTGCTTTAGATTACACTATAGTATTGCCTGCAGTCTGGACTATTATCTAGCCTATAATTTGGACTATAGTCTAGACTAGACAAGTCTATTGTCTAGTCCATATTTTGGACTATAGATTGGTGTATAGTCTTATAGTCTTCTTATATTCGACTATTATCTACTCTATAATCCACTCTATAGTCTTAACTATAGTTTGATCTTGACTCTAATTCGTCTAATAATATGTTTCGAATTGTTCTGGAGCAAAGATTAATTGTCGTTGGATCGATCGTTTTGTGACACGAATCTCGTTCTAGTTGCTGTACATTGTACAGTGTACAAGCAGCTGCGCTTATAGTTTACGACGGGATTGCCTTATGCTACAAATAATTCTCTAAGTGTATTTATTATATTAACTATCTGTCGAAAAATGAATGACTTTTCAGTTTTTTTTAGTTTTTTCCTTCTATTTATTAATGCTACAATTCTCAAAGTTTTAGACAATTTATTTTTGTTTGTACTTCGTTTTTTTTGCTAGTTTTCTTGTTAATTAAATATTTAATTTGGCTTTTTAGTTAACAATGGAAAAGTCAAACGAAATGGCAGCAACAACAACAATAAAAAAGCAACCGAATATACTACTCATTGAGGCTAATTACTTTATAAACTTATTTTTCTTTATTATAGTATTTTTTTCCTCAACGAGTTACAACTCATTTTAACCATTTTTATACATTTATTTTTCCTTTTATTTATTCTGTTGCTATTATTGTTAACTTATTCGTAGAACTTGTTTGCATGTGGCAAACATGTTTCATTGTTTCTGGTAACATTATCTGAAGAATAAACGAAAGCACTACTACAGCAACAAACAACAACAGCAACATCATCTACTATAACACCAACAACTATAACAACATTAAAATAACAACCATTAAAAACACTTAACAATTTAATTTTAAATGAAATTTAATTGCATTTAAAATTAGTGTAACCACACCATTTTAACTTGGCTTATATAAATAAAACTACCAGCCAACAACAAGAACAACTACAACTCTTAAGAAAAGGTGAATAAATACGAGAATAAAACAAACATGCAACACATACATTCATCTGGAAATTACAAGTGGCATTAGAGCGGAGTGTTAGGGGGGAAATTAATGATGGGAGCCACCACTATTAAACCAAACCCAAGTCTTAATGATATAATTGCAACAGTGGGCAAAGGAATGAAATCATTGAGATAAATTAGATCATTGAGCAGTTTTTATTATTAAGTAATTATTGTTTTATAATTGTTTAATAAAAATGTTTAAACCTTCAAAATTTCGTTAAGATTCAAAAACAGTCTTCCGATTCTATTATAAATCTTACGTTTCTGATTTTTTCACTCACATATGTCTACTCCTAGACTCTACTAATTATGAAGTTCTATTTTATTTTAATTAAATATTTAATTTATACAATTATTATTTTAATTTAATTTTGTTTTAACCCTTGATTTTAATAGTTGGGCCATTTCCCGAGCGTTGGTTTAGCAGAGTGGTAATACCGTTCATATACGTTAATCATCTCCCTTAAAAAACTACCCTCGAAACTACATAATGAAACCATCATTAAGCCAATTAATTCA